CTTCCTGTTTTCATAAATGTAATTTCTTCTTACACACATTAATTCTAGCATGGTTTGGGAGTACTTGTGGTAACTGCTGATACGTGTATTCATATCCAGGGAGTAATACTTGCTCAACTATTCTTTAGTTCTCCCTTGTTAACAATATATTCATGCATAAGTTTATCAGAATTTCTTTTCTATGCAGGTCATCCTTCCATGGTTTTCTTCCCCCTTATTTTATATGTATTTTGTACTCTAAATACATGTTTTAGAGTCAAAATAAGATGTTCTACAGCATACGAAGGTGTGACATCCCAATGGGTGACTGAATACAAACAAAATGCACAATCAAAATACAGGTGAGGAAAAACTAACCAGGCCAGCCAGATATCCAGTGACTGGACATTTGTCATGCAGAAGCTCTCATAGTAAAATTCTTATCGACATTGCATTAGATAAAACGGGAAAAATAAGATGTTCTAAGGACAGGTTGAACTCAGGTGCTCTGAGATTGAGCCCAGGTACTATGGATATAGACGTAATTAGGGAGTAACTGAAGAAAACAGTGAGTATTTAAACTATCATCATATAGATACTTCTGCAAAAAAGTACAAAAGTCAACCAAAAGTGTCAGGCTATGACTATGGAAGAAGAGGTAGAAAATTTGACAAGACCAAAGCATAGATGGCATGAAAAACTAAAATGTAATTTACAAGATAAGGGGATGCTAAAAATAACTGGAAAAAAAAACACAAGAAATTCAAAATGTAAGTTAAAAGACTGAAATTTATTATTAGGATATAAGTAAAAATGTTCTTGTTCTGTATAGATTTAAATTACTGCACACATGCCAACTGACTTGCCTTTATCTATGCTTCCTACTTAATGGGAATCTATTACTGATTCAATGAAATAACAAAGCCAAAAGAAAGCTCTTCATTTTTATGCTAGTGAAGAAGTAAGCAGTGAGACAAATAAAAGTGCTCTCTGGATTGGGATTTCTGAAGTAATTCATGTTCTAAATATTCCTCACAGTGGACTAGACTGTGCACTAAGCATGTCAAAGCACCTAGAACCATGAACATTTTTGAGAATATGAAGAGGTAAAGAGCATGGGCATATACACAGAGAGTCACCTATCATGCAGAACAGTGTAGTAAGAACCACGATGATGTGTTTTGGAATAACGATCAAGTTCAGGAAAATTGCAAGATGGTATTCCCGGATATTTTCCACTGCAAAATCCTAAAGCAAAGAAAAATAACGTCCTCTCTCCTGGCACTCTGAGCCGGTAGTTGGAATTGGCTGACTGCAAATGCAAAGTTTCTTAGAACTGTTACGTTTGATTATAAAAGTCACATACATTTTGCATTCTCTTCCATAGATTCTGTCAATATAAACGAGCCATGGTCAATTACCTGCAGCCTCCTTAAATTGATAACACTGGAATCTGTGTCCAGCTGCTTTTACAATTTGAAGGACAGAGTTACATACTCCTGTAGTTATCTATGCCTGCATTGTGGGAAGCATAACCGAGGTCAAAAGCACAGGACTTTATAAACAGCGGGATCCCTGTAAGACTTTCTTTGGCTTCCGGTTTCCTGCAGGTGGCACGCTGACAAAATCAGAGGCATCATCTCATCTCGCTTCCTGCATTACTGAGAGTCAGAAACTGGGCTAACCAAGTAAATGACCATTCCTGGGTTCTCACACTTAACACGCTGCTGGCATGCTTCTCCAATCTTCTGTTAAGACCGTCTGTTTGTTTGAGTTCTCTTCTTGGTATCATTTTACTAGCGTCTGTCCTATTACATACCCAGCCTCAGGAAGTAAGAATATGGTCACACACCATGTTTTAGCCATATTTTTCTTTCCTAACATTTAGAAAAATACCCTCCAATACTATAAATTTAGTAGCTCTGATAAAATTTTCAAAATGTTTTTCTTTCCATTTTTCCATCTTCTTCTCCATTATTGCCTAAGAATATCTTTTCTCAAAAGGTGGTAGTGGCATTAAAAATATACTCTCTGTGGAGAACGGGAACATCAGCTTTCTTTTGACTTCCATGATTTTCTGCACTGTTTTCATCTGCAAATATTTCCACTTGAATACACATGAAAAGATTAGCAATGTCGGGGTGGAGTGGATGGAAATTATGCTCTGAGCATATTTATTATGCCAACAATGCAATTTAATGCATCTTTGAGGGTGTGCAATTAGGTATGAAAATTTCTCATAACTAGAAACGTTCTTGGTAGTGGGAATTACCGTAGATAATTTCAGGTGACATGGGAATAATTTTGCTAGATAGAAGGTGTAGTCCAATATATGAAGCATTCAGCTTAGGGGAAAATGGATTTTTTCTTCACATTAATTCTTCGCTTAACACTATTGGGAAATGCAAATTCACATAAAACCTAAGAAGCAAGCCAGTAATTTTTTTATATTTTAAAAATCCCTATCAAACTACCACTGGCATTTTTCACAGAACTAGAACAAAAAATTTCACAATTTGTATGGAAACACAAAAGACCCCGAATAGCCAAAGCAATCTTGAGAACGAAAAACGGAGCAGGAGGAATCAGGCTCCCTGACTTCAGACTATACTACAAAGCTACCGTAACCAAGACAGTATGGTACGGGCACGAATACAGAAAGATAGATCAATGGAACAGGATAGAAAGCCCAGAGATAAACCCACGCACATATGGTCACCTTATCTTTGATAAAGGAGGCAGGAATGTACAGTGGAGAAAGGACAACCTCTTCAATAAGTGGTGCTGGGAAAACTGGACAGGTACATGTAGAACTATGAGATTAGATCATTCCCTAACATCATACACAAAAATAAGCTCAAAATGGATTAAAGACCTAAATGTAAGGCCAGAAACTATCAAACTCTTAGAGGAAAACATAGGCAGGACACTCTATGACATAAATCACAGCAAGATCCTTTTTGACCCACCTCCTAGAGAACTGGAAATAAAAACAAAAATAAACAAATGGGACCTAATGAAACTTCAGAGCTTTTGCACAGCAAAGGAAACCATAAACAAGACGAAAAGACAACCCTCAGAATGGGAGAAAATATTTGCAAATCAAGCAACTGACAAAGGATTAATCTCTAAAATTTATAAGCAGCTCATGCAGCTTAATAACAAAAAACAAACAACCCAATCCAAAAATGGGCAGAAGACCTAAATAGACATTTCTCCAAAGAAGATATACAGATTGACAACAGACACATGAAAGTATTCTCAACATCACTAATCATTAGAGAAATGCAAATCAAAACTACAATGAGATATAATCTCACACCAGTCAGAATGGCCATCATCAAAAAATCTAGAAACAATAAATGCTGGAGAGGGTGTGGAGAAAAGGGAACCCTCTTGCACTGTTGGTGGGAATGTAAATTGATACAGCCACTATGGAGAACAGTATGGAGGTTCCTTAAAAAACTACAAATAGAACTACCATATGACCCAGCAATCCCACTACTGGGCATATACCCTGAGAAAACCATAATTTAAAAAGAGTCATGTACCAAAATGTTCAATGCAGCTCTACTTATATAGCCCGGAGATGGAAACAACCTAAGTGTCCATCATCGGATGAATGGATAAAGAAGATGTTGCACATATATACAATGGAATATTACTCAGCCATAAAAAGAAACGAAATTGAGCTATTTGTAATGAGGTGGATAGACCTACAGTCTGTCATACAGAGTGAAGTAAGTCAGAAAGAGAGAGACAAATACCGTATGCTAACACATATATAATTATTTTTGCACAAGGAGATTTATGTAATGTACATTACTGGTTTAATTAGATTTCTAGTCCTGGTTTCATTTATGCCCTTTATTTTCTCCGATTTTCTTTCTCTCACACCAATGATTCTAAAGGAAGATGAACTGCAAAAGTCAATATACTCTATTAGCTGGATAGATTTAACAAATATGCATGACAACGCCACAATTTCAAATTCTGCCCACATTCTATGTTCTTGGCATACTTTTGGCATAGCATATGCTAATAAGAAAACCATAACAGACAAGAAAAAAAATACATTAAGCAATGTTAGGATTAGACAGGGGTGGACAGAGAGAAGAAGGCTTTCAGCCAACTGTAGGTAATATTCTTCTTGTTTCCATTCAGACTACAATTTTTAGCTACAATTCAGTAAAAACTGAGCCCACTGCCAACTGACGAGCCACAAGCAATTCCTAAGTGATGGGAAACTGAGCAACCAAGCATTACCTTTAGATTATGGATGCACTCATGTTAGGCACTTTCTAAGAAAATGTAACAACAATGGCACTGATAAGGCCGAGGTGAGAATGCAGTCGGTCGAAGGCATGCACGTGTAGACAGTTCTGACAGCACTAATTACCAGAGAAAAACATGAGCTTCATAATGTACGTGATCAAACGCAAAGTTATAGATGTCATCTGAAAGCACTTCGGTTTAAATGGAGATCATACCGCCAACTTAATTATGAAAATAGATATTAAGTTTTTGAGACTCGACAGTGACTCTTTTGGAATTTTAAAGGTTACTTCAATTTAAATAAAAAGTATTTAAGATTATGTTGGTTAGTTATCTTATATATAGTAGTGTATGTATCCCAAAATCCTAATTTATCCGCCCCCCCACCTTTCCCCTTTGGTAACCATCAAGTTTCTTTAGGGAAAAGAATCTGAAAAAGAATACACACACACACACACACACACACACACACACACACACACACACACATTATATACATATATACACATACATATAACTGAATCACTTTGCTGTACATCTGAAACTAACACAACATTGTAAATCAACTATACTTCAATAAAAAAACAAAAACCAAAATATATATATGATTGTAGAGTATAAACAGCTTCTATAAAATTAATAGGGCAAAGGTTTTCACTGTGTATCTCACCATGATATACATCAAACATATGAATCAAAAGAGACAAAAGAAAAACCGCTCTGCACAGAGGTGAGCTGACACTCACTTTGCGTGGCGGATATCTGGCAGGGACCTCTCTAGAGCAATGTTGTTGCTGACAAAAATATTGAAACCATTTTCCCTGTAAGCTGACTCATCGTGGTCCTCTTCAGTGAGGGGGTAAGGTTTCCCATGTTCACCTTTCCCTAGCAGGAGAAGAGAAAAAGGGATTACTGTCTGCGTAAAAACCATTTCATCTTCTAGAACAGATAATAAGACATGAATGCGTGTGTTTCTTTAGTTGCCTGTTACTATGCTCCAAAAACAGCTCTAGCAGCAAGATTTTATTATATTATTTTATTTCATTTAGAGAGACACTCATGCTAAAAAGCAAGCAACACAGAAGTAAAAAGTATAATCTTATCTCTCAGAGAAAACCACTGCTAAGAGTTTACGTGTATGTTTGCTAACATCTGTATACAGATTCTAATATACATACTGCCTTATAATTTGACTTTCTCCAACATAATTGTATAAAAGCCATCACTTCACTGAGTTCTGCTAGTTGATATTATTTCATTGCATCCCAATTTACACTATGCTGCTGAAGATATATTTTAAAATTATTTCCAATTTTACATATTATAAACAACGTTAAAATAAACATATTTGCTTAATATTCCTAGTTAGGTATACTTGGAAGTGGTGGCGGGGTGTAAATTTTATTTTACAAATAAAATTCCCAGACTACCTTTAGAGTGAGTAGATAGTTTTCACACGTCCCCAGAAGCATTAGATATTATTTTGAAATTTACTGGTAAAAATATGTATTAGTCACACACTTGCCTTCTCTTGACTAATAATAAAATTAATTTTTCATACACTTATCATTTGTATTTCTTACACTGTAAAATGATTGTTCGGAGATTTTAAAAAACAGTTTAAGAACAATTTACATATTATGTTTGCTAAAGCTTTCTTAATTACGTACATTGTAAATATTTTGTAGGTTTTTTTAATTTAAATCTAATTTAAGGCTTCTGTTTTCTGGTTCTGCAGGTAAGGAGTTGGAAGTTTCCACTCTGTCTTGACAACCAGTACAAAGCTGAACACACTGAAAAAACCAACAGCTCTTCTTGGATCCAGAAGAGAGGAGAGGACACGGGGCAACAGAGACAGACGGCGGAGTACAGGAGCTAAGGCTTACCAGAGTAGGGGCTCATGAGTACAAACACCAGGAACCAGTGCCAGGGTAGGAAAACCTGAACTATAATTGACAAATTGCTGGGAGCTCTGAGCAGACAAGTCAGAGAAGTAAAAACCTTCTAGAAGAACCAGTCATAGAGAGGCTCCAATTTTATTGAGATTTATCTCTGGGAGCTCAACCAAGTTCCCAGAGTAAGTACTGAAGAAAAATTCCCTTGAGCTCCTGGCAGGAGAAGGAGAGAAGGAACCATTGTGAAATACGTCAGAGCACCCTGGTGTTCTCAGTAAGGCCTGCCCTCAGGGGAAACTAGTTAACCAGAGCCCCACCTGCTCTGGTGTATCCTGTGGAGCCGAACTGACCCAAGAGAAGGGAAATTCCTGACTCTAGCCGCCTCTAACCATTCTGCCCAGGTGCGGAGAAAAATCCTGAGAAACTGCTGAAAAATTCACAGTTCAGAAGCCCAGGGTCACCAGAAGTCTGAGGTCTAATCACGAAACTGTGGGCACTGCCCTCCCACCACACCTCTACACCACATCATGAAAGGCTTATTTCCAGAAATTTCTTTCATCTGGTTCATCATATCCAGCTATCAAGGAAAAAATCACAAGGCATGCCAAAAGGCAAAATCACAACTCAAAGAGACGGGAGAGATGGAGAAAGCATCAGAAACAGACACAGCAGGGATGTAAGAATTATCAGACTGGGAATTTTAAATAACTCTGGTTAATATACTAAGGGTCCTAACAGAAGAGTAGAGAACGTGCAAGAACAGATGGGCAAGGTCAGCAGGGAGATGGAAATCCTAAAAAAGAACCAAAAATAGATGATAAAAAAACACCTTAAAAGAAATGAAGAATACTTCTGATGGGTTTATGAGTAGAAGTGGATACAGATGAGCAAAGATTCTCAGAGCCAGAGGATTTATCCATAGAATCTTCAAAATTCAAAGAGCAAATAGAACAAAAACTTAAGAAAGTAGAGCGGAATATCCAAGGGCATGGGATAACTACAAAAGATGTAACATATACATAATGGGAACAACAGAAGGAGAAGAGAGGAAGGAACAGACTATTTGAAAAAACATTGACAGAAAAATTTCCCCAAATGAGGAAACCACAAATCCAAGGCCCCAAACCACAGATCCAAGAAGCTCAGAGAACACAATGCAGGACAAATTACCAAAACACTACACAGAGGCATATCATTTTCAAACGGTAGAAAATCAAAGATAAAGAAAAAATCTCAAAAGAAAACAGAGGAAATACTCCTTACCTACAGAGGAACAAAGATAAGAATTATACCCAACTTCTCTTCAGAAGCCATGTAAGCAAGAAGAGAGTGGAGTGAAAGAGTTAAAGAATTGAGAGAAAAAACCTCCCCACGTAGAACTCCATACCCTGTGAAACTAACCTGCAAAACTGAAGGAGAAGTAAAGTCATCTCAGACAAACAAAAATTGACAGAATTTGTTCCTATTAGACCTGCCTTGTGAGAAATGTTTTTAAAAAAGTTCTTTAAAAAGAAGTAAATGATATAGGTCAGAAACCTGGATCTACATAAAGGAAGAGCACTGAAGAAAGCATAAGGGAAGATAAAATAAAAACTAACACCCTGAGAGAGGACCTTCAAGATGGCGGAAAAGTAAGAGCAGAGATCACCTTCCTCCCCACAGATACACCAGAAATACAACTACACGTGGAACAACTCCTACAGGACACCTACTGGACGCTGGCAGAAGACCTCAGAACTCCCAAAAGGCAAGAAACTCCCCACGTACCTGGGTAGAGCAAAAGAAAAAACAGAGACAAAAGAATGGGGATGGGACCTGCACCAGTGGGAGGGAGCTGTGAAGGAGGAAAGGTTTCCACACCCAAGAGCCCCTTTGTGGGCGGAGACTGCGGGTGGCGGAGGGGGAAGCTTCGGAGCTGCTGAGAAGAGCACAGCAACAGGGGTGCAGAGGGCAAAGCACAGAGAATCCCGCAGAGGATCAGTGCTGACCAGCACTCACCACCCCGAGAGGCTTGCCTGCTCACCCGCCGGGGCGGGCGGTGCTGGGAGCTGAGGCTCGGGCTTTGGTCGGAGAGCAGGGAGAGGACTGGGGTTGGCGGCGTGAACACAGCCTGAAGGGGGTTAGTGCGCCACGGCTAGCCGGGAGGGAGTCCGGGAAAAAGTCTGGACCTGCCGAAGGGGCAAGAGACCACTGTTTCAGGGTGCACGAGGAGAGGGGATCCAGAGCACCACCTGAACGAGCTCCAGAGACGGGCGTGAGCCGCGGCTAAAAGCGCGGACCCCAGAGACGGGCATGAGACGCTAAGGCTGCTGCTGCCGCCACCAAGAAGCCTGTGTGCGAGCACAGGTCACTAACCACACCTCCCCTCCTGGGAGCCTGTGCAGCTCGCCACTGCCAGGGTCCTGTGATCCAGGGACAACTTTCCCGGGAGAACACACAGTGCACCTCAGGCTGGTGCAACATCATGCTGGCCTCTGCCGCCGCAGGCTCACCCCGCACCCCGTACCCCTCCCTCCCCCTGGCCTGAGTGAGCCAGAGCCCCGTAATCAGCTGCTCCTTTAACCCCATCCTGTCTGAGTGAAGAACAGACGCCCTTAGGTGACCTACACACAGACGTGGGGCAAAACCCAAAGCTGAACCCCAGGAGCTGTGTGAACAAAGAAGAGAAAGGGAAATCTCTCCCAGCAGCCTCAGGAGCAGCGGATTAAATCTCCACAATCAACTTGATGTACCCAGCAGTGTGGAATACCTGAATAGACAACGAATCATCCCAAAATTGAGGGGGTGGACTTTGGGAGCAACTGGGAGTAGACTGGGGGTTTGCTTTCTGCATCTAATTTGTTTCTGGTTTTATGTTTATCTTAGTTTACTTTTTAATGCTGGTTATCACTGCTGGATTTGTTTATTGGTGTGGTTGCTCTCTTCATTTTTTTAATTACTTTTTTAAACTTTATTTTAATACTTTTTTTATTTTAATAACTTTTTAATTTAATTTTATTTTTATTCCTCCTTGCTTTTTTTTCCTCCCTTTTCTTCGGAGCTGTGTGGCTGACAGGGTCTTGATACTCTGGCCGTGTGTCAGGCCTGAGCCTCTGAGGTGGGAGAACCGAGTTCACAACACTGGACAACCAGAGACCTCCTGACTCCATGTAATATCAATCGGTGAGAGCTCTCCCAGAGATCTCCATCTCAATGCTAACACCCAGCTCCAATCAATGACCAGGAAGCTCCAGTGCTGGACACCACATGCCAAACAACTAGCAATATAGGAACACAACCCCACCCATTAGCAGACAGGCTGCCTAAAATCATACTAAGTTCACAGACATCCCAAAAAAACACCACCAGACGTGGTCCTTCCCACCAGAAAGACAAAATCCAGCCTCATCCACCAGAAAAAAGGCACCAGTCCCCTCCACCAGGAAGCCTGCACAACCCACTGAACCAACCATACACACTGTGGGTGGACATCAAAAACAATGGGGCTATGAACCTGCAGCTTGCAAAAAGGAAACCCCCCAAACAGTAAGTTAAGCAAAATGAGAAGACAGAGAAACACACAGCAGATGAAGGAGCAAGGTAAAAACCCACCAGACCTAACAAATGAAGAGGAAATAGGCAGTCTACCTGAAAAAGAATTCAGAGTAATGATAGTAAAGATGATCCAAAATCTCGTAAACAGAATGGAGAAAATACAAGAAACGTTTAACAAGGACCTAGAAGAACTAAAGAGCAAACAAACAATGATGTAAAATGCAATAAATGAAATTTAAAATCCTCTAGAAGGAATCAATAACATAATAACTGAGGCAGAAGAACAGATAAGTGACCTGGAAGATAAAATAGTGGAAATAACTACTACAGAGCACAATAAAGAAAAAAAGAATGAAAAGAATTGAGGACAGTCACAGAGACCTCTGGGACAACATTAATTGCACCAACATTCAAATTATAAGGGTCCCAGAAGAAGAAGAGAAAAAGAAAGGGACT